ACGTTCTTAGTATTCACTTCATTCCTCCCAGAAAAAATGTTAAAAAGACAGGTATCATTTTCCAGTCTCCTGAGAACTCCCTGGGGTTCCACAATATCCTAAAGGAATTCCACAAATCAGGCATCATTACCACCATCACCACACCCTATCATCACATCAGGGTGTTGATTTTTATTGAGTACTTACTATATTCCAAGCACTTTATTAAAAGCTTTATGAGTATCATTTCATTTATTCTTCACAACAATCATATGAAGTAGGACTATTTTTCCCATTTTATGGATGAGAAAATTAACATTATGTATGAGTTTTAGACAGTAAAGTAATTCACCCAAAGTTATACAGCTACAAAGTGACAGCAATCCATAGAGTTTAAGCAAATTAAAAATGTAATGATTTTGCCTTTTTTTTTTAAGATTTTATTAATTTGACAGAGAGAGAGACAGTGAGAGAGGAAACACCAGCAGTGGGGAGTGGGAGAGGGAGAAGCAGGCTGCCAGCTGAGCAAGGAGCCCGACGTGAGGCTCAATCCCAGGACCCTGGGATCATGACCTGAGCCAAAGGCAGATGCTTAAGGATTGAGCCACCCAGGTGCCCCATGATTTTGCCTTTTTAAGACAACACACTATTTAACATAAAGAAGGGGTGATACCAACACCTCACACTAGCACTCAACATTCCAGCAGACCAAACTATTTTCAGATCACTCAATTTGCCCTACAGCTTTCTAGCCTTTGGGCTCTGCAAACCCTGTTCCCTCTACTTGCATCCTTTTCATTTAGCCAAATCCTACTTATCCTTAAGACCTCATCTCAGATTTTCCAACAGTCCGGTTTAGGAATCCATCCTATGAGCTGAAGCACAGCAGCCCACAAACCCCTATTAATTTTTCCTCTTCTCTCACTAGAATAAAACTCCTTAAGAATAAGGGACCCTGTCCATTATTCATCCTGGATTCCACCTGGCCCAGCCAAGGACTTAGAACACAAAAGGTACTCAATAAATATATGATAAATGTAGGAATAATGAAAAGATACTTAAGTAATCAAATCATTTCACAAGCATGTACTCAACCAAATAAAATGTTATCTAAGTTGACTTTTACACAAACCTATGCTTTTACACTAAATGGCTTAATTGTCGGAGCGCCTGGGTGGCTCAGATGGTTAAGCGTCTGCCTTCGGCTCAGGTCATGATCCCAGGGTCCTGGGATCGAGTCCCACATCGGGCTCCCTGCTCCTTGGGAGCCTGCTTCTCCCTCTGCCTCTCTCTCTCTCTGTCTCTCTCTATGACTCTCATGAATAAATAAATAGAATCTTTAAAAAAAAAGAGAGAGAGAAAAAAGAAATGGCTTGTCATTTAGTTGGTAAGCAGGTATTTCACAACATTTTTTCCCACATAATATACAAAAGAATACCTAACTTAAAAACTAAAGGTCAGAAAAGTAACTGCTAACGGATTCAGGGCTTCTCTTGAGGGTGAAGAAAATGTTCTAAAATTGATTGCGGTGATACACACACCAAAAAAATTGAATTATACACTTTAAGTGAGTGAATTGTCTGGTATATGAATTATCTCTTGATAAAGCTGTTATAAAATAAAAACAAAAGGCCTGCAGGGAGCTAGACTTAAATTATGAAAACAAATACTAAGCCTGCAAAAAAAAACCTAGAAGATAAAATAGGTTATATTTATGCAATTTTAAAATAGCTAAACCATATTATTGCACAAACTTTCACTGGTTAGGAAAAACAAGAACATGGAAACAGTGACTGCCCTCAGGAACAACGTGATGGGACAGGAGACTTACTTTACTTACTTTTCCCTATGTACTCTTGCATACATTCTGATTTGGTATGTGTATTACCTATTTTTTAAATGAGTATAATAGTTATTAGTTTATTAAAAAATAACAAAATAAGAAAAATGTCATTATCTGTCCTTAGTATAGTATACACTCAAAGATTGCCTATTTTGTTCTGAAAAGGATAAAAACTGAAATATATGTTTCTGTTTGTTTGTTTAATTTTATTTATTTGACAGAGAGAGAGAGACAGCGAGAGAGGTAACACAAGCAGGGGGAGTGGGAGAGGAAGAAGCAGGCTTCCCGCAGAGCAGGGAGCCCGATGCGGGGCTCGATCCCAGGACCCTGGGATCATGACCTGAACCAAAGGCAGTCGCTTAACCAACTGAGCCACCCAGGCGCCACTGAAATATATGTTTTTAAAAAAATCAATCCAGGGAAGTAAAAAACTGACAAATTCTTATATCTATTTCATCCCACACTAAAAAACATTTACTCATATTTCTCTTATTAGACATTATAATCGTGCAAATTCTCCCTTACCCAACACTCTGACACATCTTTAAACAATGACACACTTGATCATTCCCTCCTCCTTAAACTTCCTTTCCTTCACTGCTAGTACATCACACTCTCCTGGTTTTCCTAACCCAATGACCTTTTATTAATTTCCTTTGCCATGTTTCTCTTCATCTCCCCAAAAGGTATCTGGAAGGTAAGTTCCATGAAGGCAGGGATTTTTGTCAGTTTTGTTCACTACTGTATCCCCAATCGCTAAAAAAATACCCAGAACCATACTCAATAAATAACCATTGAATGATTCAGTGCCCCCAAGGCTCAGATGTTGAAGAGCTATAAAAATAAATATTTTATATAACTTGTATGCTGTTTACTTCATTACATTATATTTATCTGAAAATTGATAATGAATGTACTAATTATTTAGTTAACCAAAATACTACATTCCCTGGTGTTCTTCCATTGATGTTTTGATATGGTATGTAAAAAATGCACATTTAACAGCTCTTCTACTACTTCAAAAGCATAAACTTAGAGCAGAAGAGCAGTTGTTGCTATAAGAACCTTCACTTTTATCTTGCTTCCAGTACTAATGTTGAATTAACAGACTGACATACCCGACTTTAGTAATGGGTGGGGGTGGGAGGAGAGAGCTCAGTAAATTCAACAAGAACAACACAGTAATGACTAGCAAGTGACATTTCTTGAAAAATAAAATGTAGTATTTTTTTCTAGGCATAAGAAATTCTAAAGAGAAACAGACCACTTCTACCTTATACTTTCCCCCCAATCCCACGATTTCATTCCCACAAAGAATGCCACTGTCAGCCATGCAAATGTAATTTTAGCAATATACATACGAAGTTTCACCTGATATCTTAGTTCACATTTGTACTCATTCATACCCAATTAAATCAATGTATAATTTAAAAGCCAAAACTAGATATATGATTTTAATTTTTCCTTCTAAGTAACTAATCCAAATCAAAAGTATTCATTTACCAACTTCTAATTTGATCTATTTGAATACATTTAATTGAATCTTTTAGAATTACAAATTGGACACACCCTTTCTCTATAGCTATTGTATCATCTGTTGCCTATAAGTATTTTCTAGAAGATAATAGTCTGCTCATTAATTAGGCATGTTAAAAAAGGCAATGATCTGCAACTACTGACACTCACATCTGTATATTTCTCTCTTGGGTTACAGGAAAGCATTTCTCTGGCTATGTTCCCAAATAAATTGAGTAAGCCTTGGGAAAGTCACTGCTTAAATTCCATTTCATGACGGTTTCTCTTCCTCCACAAATGAATTATTGAGAGTCATGCCTACTTCCATCCATTACATAATACATGTCCATCACAGGACCTGTTTTCTGAGCAAGAAACAGCTTAAATGACACTAACTGATAGGTAAGGTCAGTGAATACTGACTGTAATCTAATAGGGAGCAGGAATCGAGAAGAGATTGATTTAATGTATAAAGTTGTGAAATAATGATGTGAAGAACACTGAACACTGTTTACTCTTAATAACATTATCTTCCTATGAAGTGAGATACATGCCCCCAAAATGTTATTAAAGAGCATTTTAAAAGCACTTGACTCCAAGAACATTTCTCAGAAATTGAGGGACCTACCGAAAAAAAAATTATTCCACTTCATTTTTAGAGCGTCTAATAACATCTGCAACTGAGAAATAAAAATAATCCCCAATAACTGTGTTGAACACAAAATGTCTAAATGTCAAGGTCTGTTGAAAAACGAGCTGTAAAAGACAGCTGTGCTTTAAAACATTTAAGCATTTTTCATATAATTAGCTCCAACAGAACTGTTCAAATTATCCATCCAAAGCAGTCAACCACAACCACCTGCAACTATTACTCAGAAACGTGTCTTCCGAAGCAACTACCTGATTTTCAGGCCTTCTCTAGAGACAACAGAATAAAGATTATTAAGTCAGATGGTATAAAGAGATCTTTTAGGCACACAAAAAAGACTGGAAGATAACACCTTTAGGGAACTAGATGTAATGGGACCTATTCCCTTATGCTGCTGCCAAAATGAAGTTGTCTTAATCGAAGATCTCACTCTTCCTGAAGGGTGTAAAACTTTAAACCCAGCCACCCTCACAATGTACCTACCTGCGCCAAAAGCAGAGGGATTTTCTTCCCTCCCGACTCACCCCGCGAGGAGGAAAAATAACCAAACCCCGAAGTAGAAATGTGAGACCTAGGGCAACAGCTTCTCCAACTGCCTCAAAGGCAACATCCACAGCTCATCTTCCTTTTGAAATACACCCTTCATCTATCTTACCATTTCACAGAAGAAGAAAAAAATCATCTTTCAACATTTTACATCGGTCGCCTAAACACACAGATCCACCCTGACCGCACCCCAACCTCCTCATAGCTCCCCAATTTCTCCATCTCGCCACTACCTCGCCCGCAACATCACGCCTCAAACCCTCCGCTCACCAAGCGCCCAGAACCCCTATCTCCCATCTCCCACCTCGGGCTCCCCACATCTACCGCCTCAGCTCCCGCCCAATCCTGGAGCTCGGTGGGGCGGAGCCCGCGGGGGGCTGGGGTGGGGTGGGGTGGGGTCCGCCCCTCCCCGGACTTTCCCATCCCCCCGGTGGGGAGAGGAGGGGGAGGGGGGTCCTGAAGCCTCACCTACAGCTCCGCCCCTCCCCGGGGGCGCGCTGCCCAGCCCTAGCCAGGGCCGTGAGGAAGAAGCAAGCTAAGAAAAGGCAAAAAAAGCCCCAGCGCCAGCGGCAGGCGGGAAGCTCTCGGTCCCGCCCGACTTCCGAGCTGCCGCCACGGCGGCCGTCTCACCCTCCTCAGGGCTGCTGCTGTTGGTGTTGCTGCTGCTGCCGCCCGGACGCCGCCACCACCGCCGCCGCCACCACCGCCACCACCGCCGCCGCCGCCACCACAGCCACAGTACTGCCCCAACGCCCGCCGACGTCACCGCGCCCCGCCCCCTGCGCGAGACACCTAGCCCCACCCCCGCCGGGGCCGCGAGACACCGCGAGCTCCGCCTACTCCCGGCCAGGCCACCTAGCCTTCCCGCACCCTCCTGAGGATGCGACTTGGCAGCCCGCAGGCCTCCGGCGCCTTCCAGAGGAAGGCGGGTCAGGGGCTGGGAGTGGGGTGACTCAAGGTTCCGGCGGCGATTGCGCGCCCAAGCAGAGCAACGGGCGCGGGGCGTCCACAACCCCCACGCGCGGCCCCTGCGGCCGGGGGAAGGGAGAGCCGGAGTCCGCTCCGGGAAGAGGCGGTAGGTGGGAGCGAGGCAAGGCGGCGTTTGTCTCCTTCTGCTTGCCGTAGGAAGTGGACCGGCCAGGCCCGAAGAGCGGAATCGTCGTTTTCCCAAACCTTAGAGTAGCCCCACCCCCTCTTTGGCGGGACCCGTTACACAAGCCCCAGCACCGCCACCGCTGTCGAGAGTAGGTCTAGAATCGGCATACGTTCCGGGCTGCGCTTCCAAGGCCGCAGTGGGAACCCTTTTTCCGAGGGAAATTGGATTTTTTCCCCCACCCTTAGCTTTTGCGAATGTGGCCGCGGGGCTGTCCGCTCGACCTTAGGGAAAGAACTTAGACGTCGCAGAAGACCCACGCCAGTGTACGTGGTTTTTCTGTGGGAGCTCGGCGGGAGAGGAGAGCGTGGGCGGAATTTAAGGTGCACAGTCAGCTCCCGCGATGTGCCAGATGCGGTGCTACGCTGTCGTATTTGGTCCTCAGAACAGCTAGGCTAGTCTGTTAGGCAAATGGTACCTTATTTCAGGAAATCCAATTTTCTTGTACTGAATTGCAGTCGGTTTTTCTTTCGTCGGAGTCATGCAAAGAGGGCAGCTGCATCCATTAATTTACAAATATAGGTAAACTGTCCCTAACCAAGAAAGTAGGAGTGATGTGAATTATATTTGCCCCAGTGTTTTAGGTTGAATCGAATCATTTAAAATGCCCTTAAAAGGGGTCGAGTCATCATTTTACCCCTACTTATTCTCCACTACAATTAACCAACTTACACTCCTTCATAATCCCACTAACATTTTCCCATCTCTCCTCAGTATTCACATTCATTCATTCACCAAATTCTACTGTCACATCCTGCCCAGACTCTGTTCCTTCCCAGATCACCACGCACTTGGATTATTGCAGTTCCCGGTCCTGCTGTACAGTCGCCCCCTTCAGTACATTCAACATATGCCTACCAATTGTTAGACTGTGCTGCCAAAGAAGATTGTAGAGCTGCCAAATAAGCATCCTAAAATACTTCATTTTTTTAGACATCTGGCTTTTTACCCCCAAAAAAAGCCATCCTTCTTCAACTGTTTTTCAAGATCTTTTTCATCTAACTGCTGATCTGCTCATCCTGTTACTCCCCAGCAGTGTGGGGAGGTAAAAAAAAAAAAAAAAGTGGGAGTCATATCCTAGTTTCCATTCTGCTACTCTCTACTTGAATGACCTTGGGGAAATCACTTTATTTCTGGGTTTTACTTTTCTTAACTGTAAAATGGGGTGTGAACTCCATGTCTGAGATCCGCTATGTCGCTAAAATGTGTGGATCTGGAGAGTTACTATGTTAAGCACTAAGTTATACATACAGAGGGTACTATCAATATCACAGACTGAGAATTGTGATAGTTTGGTTTTTTGTGTGTGTTTTGGGGGAGGGTTGTTTTTTGGTTTTTTGCCCTTCCACTGGTCGTTTTTTCTTATTTCCTACTCTGCCCCAGATGTTTTTGTTTGTTTTTTTTAACTTACGTTTAGTATTTTTTTATTAAAGCCGGTTGAGTGCACCCTTGGGCAGCACATATACTAAGCACATATACTAAAATTGGAATGATAGAAGATCAGCATAGCTCCTGTGCAAGGATGACACACCAATTAATGAAGCATTCCATAATTTTAAACTAATGTAACATGGGTTGTCAACCATACTTCAATTACAAAAAAAAAAAAAAAAGCTGGGGGGCACCTGGGTGGTTCAGTAGGTTAAGCATCTGCCTTCAGCTCAGATCATGATCCCACAGTCCTGGGATCAAGCCCATATCAGGCTCCCTGCTCAGCAGGCAGTCTGCTTCTCCCTCCCCTGGCTCTTGCGTGTGCTCTCTCTCTCTCTCTCTCTCTCTCTCTCAAATAAATAAAATCTTTAAAAAATAATAAAAATAAAAATAAATTTTTAAAAAGCTGGCTAAGCACATACATTCATTACCTCTTCTTCCTGAGACCCCAATTAAAATGCTAATAAAGGAATTTTAAAAATGATACAAAACCCATACGTAATAGAAAATGGGAAGGAGACCACCAAAACATATATATTTTTTTAACTTACACACAAAGTGAGTGCAGCCTGACTAAACAAAATGAAAGAAACCATAATGTGGAGTAGGTGCAGAAGGAGGCTGCAGCCAATAAGAAGGTGAAATAAAGATCTCCATATAGAACAGAAGAACCCTTCCTTATCTTGGATACAGTCAGTAGGCATTTATCCCAGGCTAAAAATCAAGAGTTCTCATAATCTCTGGAGAGGAGTTGGGCAGCTATTTGAGCACTTATTTTTTTAAAAAGATTTTATTTATTTATTTGACAGAGAGGGAACACAAGCAAGGGGAAGTGCAGGCAGAGGGAGAAGCTGGCTCCCCGCAGAGCAGGGAGCCCGATGCGGGACTCCATCCCAGGACCCTGGGATCATGACGTGAGCCAAAGGCAGATGCTTGACCAACTGAGCCACCCAGGCGCCCCCTATTTGAGCATTTAATGACTAAGAGTGAAGCAGTCTTCATTCTGGCACAATAGCTGGTTTTCTACCCACTCACCCTTCCTTGAGTGAAGTGCAAGTTGGCAAGACCCTCCCAAGTTCACAAGATTCCTAATCAGCATTCCAATTACTTCATCTTAAACATGAACAGACAACCAAGGATTAGATTAATAGATTTTTAAAAGAAGTCTCCAATTTAGGGGGAGGGGAGAAAGATAAACAAAATGTGACCATAGAGGAAATAAAGAAACTTCAGAGAACTTAAAAAATAATAGTTAGTATGCTCATGGACTTTTAGTACACCTATGAAATAATAATATACTCAGTATACTCAGATGAAGTAACAATCCAAGAATAAAAAGTAAGTCTTGAAATCATAAGAAATTGCCAAAATTAGGGGCGCCTGGGTGGTTCAGTCGGTTAAGCGTCTGCCTGTGGCTCAGGTCAAGATCCCAGGGTTCTGGGATGGAGCCCCGCGTTGGGCTCCCTGCTCAGAGGGGAGTCTGTTTCTCCCTCTGTCTCTCCCCACCTCCAGCTTGTGCACACTCTTTCTCTCTCAAATAAATAAATAAAATCTTTAAAAAAAATTGCCAAAATTATAAATTCACTAGAAGTGTTAAAAGATAAAGTGAATGAAATTTACAAATAGAAGAACTATGGGGCACCTAGCTAGCTCAGTGAGAAGAGCACATGACTCTTGATCTCCCAGTCATGAGTTTGAGCCCCACGTTGGGTGTAGAGATTACATAAATAAATAAATAAACTTTAAAAAAAGAAGACATACTCAGAGGTGGAAATTGTGAGAGAAAATATAAGAGAAAGAATAAATCCAAGAGAACTAATATTACAAGAGAAAGAGAAAAAAAGGTAAAGAATGGAAAATTACTCAAAAATAATGGAAGAAAATTTCCTAGAGCTTGAAGTGTCTACTAGCACAGAGCAAAAACGAAGAAAAAACAACCTTGTAAAATGTTAGAACTGCAAAAACAGAGATCTTAAATTTCCAAAGAAAAGAAAATAAGTGACCCAAGAATCAAGCTGACATTGGAATTTTTACCAGCAACTCTAAATATAACAAGATAACAAAGAGTTCCAAGTTTCTGAGGGAAATATTTCTTGAACCTCAAAACCTAAGAAAAAAAATTACTTTTCAGAAAAGTTCCACTCCTAGCTGAAATATCATTAAGTAAAAGATCAGAATGGGGGCACCTGGGTGGCTCAGTTGGTTAAGCGACTGCTTTCAGCTCAGGTCATGATCCTGGAGTTCTGAGATCAAGTCCCACAATGGGCTTCCAGCTCAGCGGGGAGCCTGCTTCCCCCTCTGACCCTCTCCCCTCTCATACTGTTTCTCACTCTCTTTCGCTCTCTCTCAAATAAATAAATAAATAAAACCTTAAAAAAAGGCAGAATTAAAACATTTTTAGATCTGCAGGGATTCAAAAAGGTAAACTCCCACATACCCTTTTTTTTTAAAGACTTTATTTATTTAACAGAGAGAGACATAGCGAGAGAGGGAACACAAGCAGGAGGAGTGGGAGAGGGAGAAGCAGGCTTCACATGGAGCAGGGAGCCCGATGTGGGGCTCAATACCAGGACCCGGGGATCATGACCTGAGCCAAAGGCAGACGCTTAACCGACTGAGCCACCCACGCGCCCCTCCCACATGCCCTTTTTTATTTTTTTTTAAGATTTTATTTATTTATTTGACAAAGAGAGGGACAGAGAGAGAGAGCACAAGAAGGGGGAGCAGCAGAGGGAGAGGGAGAAGCAGCCTCCCCACTGAGCAAGAGCCTGGCAGCTGATGGGGGGTGGGGGGCTCAATCCCAGTACCCTGAGATCATGATCTGAGCCAAAAGCAGATGTTTGACTGAGCTACACAGGCACCCCTCAAATACCATTTTTTAAATAGAGTTACTTGAAGATTTGCTCAAGCAAAATGAGTTAAAAAATAGGGTAGTTGACAATATCAGATCTAATTCAGGAGGACAGGGAAGATCTAATTCAGGGAAGTCCCAAGAGCTCTAGGCTAGATTGGAATGGAAAGATAGGAGCTCTGGGAGAGAAATCTGAAAAAGAGAGAATTCAACTGAATAACTAATTACTATGATAGAAAGCTTAGAAAGTGCTGTTTTCTGGTGTTCAACTTTTAGACCC